TCCACATCTCAAAACATTTCTCTGTAAACTTTCAAGCAACTGAGAGCAAATCAACACATCATAGAGATGGTATTTCCCATTTTTCAATGCTAAAAAACTAAAGTACATTTTTAAGACAATTTTTTCTTAAATATTTCCAATGATTCATGTACTCTAAGAGATAGTTTCCTACCCATCAAAGACTCCAATCTTCACATTAATCCTCTTCCTTCATAAAGAGAAGATATTTGGGGGAGGGGGTGGGGGAGGGGGGAAGCCTATCATATTGCTCAAATAATCTATAACAACTTTCAAGGAAACACATTTTTGGCCACTTAACAGTTTTACAAAATAGCCATGCTTACCCTTCTAAGCAGCACCATTGTTTTTTTGAATAAAAGGGGAACCACCTAAAGGCTGAATTCCCGCCACACACTAATGAACCTAAAATGTAACTGGTAAATTTTTGGTATAGTAGTTCAGCATATGGTGTCAGTTCCATATGGTTTTGGACAAGGGTTCAGGGAGACCCAAGTTCAAGTCTCTTCTCAATGAATGAGTTCACTGGTGACCATGAGCCAGTCAATCTCTCAGCCCAACCTTACATATTTGTTGTAGTGGTGGTGTGTTATATATATTGCCTTGAGTTTTTGGATATAAAGTAATTTAAATATCTAACAAACAAGTCTAACATTGCCGTTCCATAGTGTGTGAGACAGGGAACCATGCAAATCCATAATAGTTTGGGCATGTGAACACAGTCATCATGTCTGGTTAACCTAGTTTTCTCCAGGGACAAGTTTTTATTATTCTTGCATCAAATATAGTCTAGAATACAAACTACAGATTAAAGGTTTTATGTTCATATTCAATTTGCCCTTTGTGAAAAATATTCTTAACTCAGTCAACCCAAATCCAGAGATTTCAAGTAGCAGAGGTCATGCATATAGATATTTCCAGTTGGGAGAATAGCAAGTGAACTCCAATAGAGGTCACGTGACCAGATACATAAAACAAGACATCAGTATTGCTTCGCTGGTGGAGTCTATCAGCCTTATGGACATGAGAAGCCCTGGGTACACATGACTCCCTAGCAGTGTTCTAATAGCAGTGGGACCTGAAATGTTATACTGTGGGAACTCATGTAGTTACTCTAAAATGAATTAATCCCACTTAATTCTCTGGTTTTTCTTAGGATATCCATATAGGATTATATCACTAAAGAGCAATGCTGTTTCATGTTGAAGAGTTCTTATAATTGTTCCAAAAAACTCCTAGCAAGGAAAAAAAATGGGAAAGTTTTTTTACTTTGTCCTCTTCCCCCTTCACCTTAAAAAATTAAGCATTCTCTGCTATTTAAACCAACTGGGTTCAACTAAGCCACAACAGCTCAAATGAGAGATGAGCTGCTAGTTTGCAGATTTGCTTGGAAGATGCATCAGGATCAGACATGTTTTTTCTCCACTTCTGATATAAGACATTTCTGTGGCAAGTGGGAAAGGGAATCCATGATTCAATATCCCCCACCTATGACAGAGCTCTTTAAACACCTGTGGCCTGATACCTCTTCCAGGGGCTACAATATTGCTGCCTTAATGTCATTTTTTAAAAGCTGCATTTTAAAAAAAATAGGCTTAAAATAACATTTTAATAAGCATGGATTTCCTGTGGTGTATATATAATTTTATTTCTAAGAAAGTATAGTGCAGCACATTTTGGGCACATAGCTGTTAAAGCATGTTTTACATATCAAAGAATTTAACAGATCAAATCTTCCAGAGGACAAATATTGCCTTTAAAATGACATGTGCTATTAACAGAGACAGTAAGAAAAAAACTATTTGTGACCACTAATTGCACGAAAATAAATCTTATATACAGAATTTACCAAAGAAACAGGTATATTTTCTGTGAAAATAAATAAATATATGTATGATAACATAACAACTAAATAAATATAAAACTTTACTTCTGAAATTAAGAGTATAAGTTAAATATTCAACAAACCAATTATTTTCATAAGTTGGCTGAGCTCAATTCATTCAGGATTTTCATACTGTGATTGTCTCAATGCAGAAACGGTATTACTTCCTGGGAATCTAGAAGCCTGGTTGTACTTTAGTCTGTTTGGCAGTCTCTCCGTGAGTGGATGGATGTTGTAGCATGCACGGAGCTCTCTTTTCCCTGAAACAGGCAAGGTGCTTCTAATGTTTCATCTTTGCATTGGAACCCCCAGGTCCACAAAACATTGCTGACTTAGGATTCCTTCTTCAAGAGAAACTCAAATTATAGAAATTATAACTCTGCTGGTTCAAATGATATGCTCTTGGTGGAATAATAAAACAAGTTCTTCTTTTGCTTTCGTTGCTAAATGCCTTGCTACTGTGTTAAAAACAGCACCAAGAGAACTCCAGGTTTGTACGTGCGCATCATTCAGCAAGGCAATTAACAAGTAATCAGTAACTGGTTGATAATTCTTATGAACTAACCTTTATTCTTTAAAAACAAACTAACATCTACTTATTTGCATCCCAAACAAGGAATTCTAAATTTAACTATTGATACTTTGAGAAAATATCTTTAAAAGTTCAAAGTAATTAACAGAACAGTGAAAACTGGCACCTATGAAAGACATTTCAATAGTTATAGAAGAAGCACAAATATAAAAGAATAAAGAATCTGCAAAACATTTGTGACTTACTTGCACAATTTTGCTTTGGGGTTGGGCTTAATTTCAAAAGCTTGCATTTCTCAACTCCTCTCAATTCTACAGCTTTTCTCCTACTGTTACATTAAAACGTTCCACCATTAAAGGGTTGTAGTGCTGTGAGCTTCCCAGTTCTGTATCTGATGACAAAGCAGCCATTTTACTTGGACATAAACTCCATGTACAATTTAGCAGTATATGAGAGCCTTGGGCATAGATATTCTCCCAGATATTCTCCTATCTAGAACTCCTCCAATTCTTACAAAACAGTAAAGCTAAATGAGGTTAATAGGGGTTATAGGACAGTCTGGATGGCATCTGCTTTGGAAAAGCAGCTCCAATCTCAATTACTTGTGAGTTCATAATAATTTTGGCTTTTAAATAACCAGAGCTCTGTTAGATTCAAACGCAATAGAACTCTGATTAGTTTACTCTGTTAATTAAAGAAACTGAGATCAAAATTGTGGCTTGTGATCCTGGCTTGTACTCTAACAATAAAATAATTAGCCTAGAATGTCCTTTAAGTTCAAATATCACCAATTGCTAGGAATAAGGATAGTGAACATGAGCCCAAGGCTAACACATACCTGAACCAACTAGTACAGTTAGGATCAGACTATTAAGCAATTTATTTTTTTCATTTATTTATATAAATGGTGGGCAGTTGGCCAGTAAGACAATTTGGAGGTTTCAGCCTAGTTGTAAAAAATGCATGGAGAATCCAGCTGCAAGAAAATTTCTGACACCAGATCAGATAATAAGGGTAGGGAGAAATAGGTTTCTCTTCTCACAGCCTAGCCTTATGAGAAAGTATTAATTTTCAAGATCTGCAGAATTTGAATTCCTTTCCTAATTTGGACAGAAATTGACAAATGTGATTGGCTAACTACTGTTTCAACTATGGAAACTTTTCCTTAAAAATGAGAAAGCTTAACACAGTAAAGCAAAATGAAACCTATGCATTTAGAAAAAACAGATTAGTTGTATAAAGCAAGTATGAGAAAAATATGAATCTAATAAAACTTTAAAAACATATAAAAGTGCCTCTTAGTCCAGCCAACAAAATGGCAAACTTCATCTCCTGATCTTTATCAGTTTGTCAGGGAAGTTGTGATTTTTTTCTTTTAGTATCAAGGCTTATCATTATAATACAATACTGAAGGGCACGCATTACCTAATGACAGATTTCAGTCCATGTAGATGTTAATCTTATAAATCTTACTGGGTTTCCAAGCATGGAGCAGACCTCCTAAAAGGAAGTTTGGAGAAACAACTAGGCAAGAAAAGCCTTTTTATTGGCTCCCTTGTAAAGCCTTGGGGGAAGGGCCTATTCGTTTTACAAAGATCAATCTCTCTCCTGGGGTTGAAGGCTGGGGTCCTTTCTGGTTTTCAATATTATTTACATAGAAATTTGCTTTCCAGTATTTCTTTCAATGAGGCCTTGTACCTTTCATTTTCAACTCAGACCCAGAGCAAGAATAAGGCTTTTGATCAAGTTTCACAAATGCTGGTCCTTCCTGGTGAAAGCGAAGTACACAGACACTAGAAAACAGCTTGAGTGTCACTGATCTAATTCAGAATGTAGCTCATTATTCTGGGGAGAAGGGAAGGTAATGAATTTCTCAGGTCTCACTTCTGTTTATCCATGCCAAGACACAAACATAATGCATATAGTTCGCCTTCTATTCCCTTAAATTCAGGAGGAGGAGGAGTGAATCTTTAAAATGCAGCATGTGGACAGGAGAAGTACCCCCAATGTGATCATTATAAATTCACTACACATGTGCACACACATGGGTTAGAACCCTTAGTTATAAAGTATCCAGTGGTTCCAAATTCTGAGAATATTGGCAGGAAAAAAAGAGAAAGTCTTGAAGAAGCAGCACACGATTTAGCTACTTTTCACTAGAACGCTAGGCTTTACAACTTCAGATGCAGGTGAAAGCTTTCATGAAGAAATACCGTTTGCATCTTTAGTCTACTGATACACAAAATTAAACATTAGGGCAAAGCTTTCTAGCCCAGTTTTCTTTCTGCTTTGCTAAGTTGTCTGAAATGGTATATTGATATGCAATATATGTCGGTATGCAACAATATTTACAACTAGAGTGATCTCTAGGTTATCTTTAACCACTAAATTTTATAATAGCCATTCCCCATGTAGCGTCCTCCAGAAGTGCTGGGACTTCAACTTCTAGTATTTCAAAAGAACACGGAGTTATAGTCCCAACATACCAAGACGGCACTTGTCAGATGAAGAAGCCACCTGTGTTATATACATTCCACCCAGAGATCCTAATACCAGCAACAGCATTCTGAATTCAGCATCAGAAGGGGCACATTTCTGTTTAGTTCTAGATAGTTGTATTTTTCTTCCCAATTCAGGTTCAATTTGCAAGTCATCAGTGCTTTTTCTGGGATCTCAAAGCTGCACAGTATGGAAAAGTTCAATGTTCCAGAAAACCCTTCAAAACAACCACTGTGCAAGTTTTAAGATTAGTGATGAAGAATCACAAATGTCTTCACAATGCAAGGCAGAGAATGGTCTGTAGCACTCCCATGTTTTTTTAAAAAGGTAACATTTATATAAACACAGTAAGATGCATGGGGGGGATTCATTTTTATCCAGGCAAGTTGGTTTATGAAGGCACAGCTGATTTGAGGTGGAATGACTTTAACTGCACAAATGAACATGTGAGTGATGCTGATGAACAAAGAATTTTATACTTTTTGGTTTGCTTTTCTTCAATAAGCAAGGTATCTGAATCTGCTTAGATACTCTTTACGGGCCTGGTGACTGAAACGTTAGTTCCATCTTTCTTTTTGCTGATCATCTGGTACAACCTATGCTTTTCACTTTTTCTTCTTCCATTGCCACAGAAGTTTGTATCTTTAGGGCCAAGCAGTTAATTCTCTAAACACTGCAGCAGGTTTTGGTGAGCGAAGACTTTTTTAGCGTTGTCCCAGCCAGCTTAGTGACTGACCTATCATCATCTTTGCTATCACTTCTTTTTCGCACTTCTCTGAAAAACAATAGTTTGTTTGATCAGACAAAGCATTTTCAAAGGAAAATTATCCTGCTTATTGTGAGCATTTGTTGAATAACAGTAAAGGTTCATAAATATCTCATATTGATAAAATATCACACATAGTTTGCTTTTGCAGAGTACACTAAAATGAGTAAATTAAACTTGTCATGTGAATCAATCATTTGTTATTTACAGTGCTTAGTTTTATGGCAAATATAGTACAAGAAGTATTGTCAAGAAGACCTTTTCAGGAGTTTGCATAATAAGCACCAATTCTCTGACCATTATGACACATCGCATTTTGGCGTATTTTTTTCCCCTATGGAAGCAATCCATAGAGAAAATCTAAATTGTCATCTACAAAGTGGATTAAAATAATGAGAACTGTGGAAGGATGATTGTCTATGGATTGTGACATGAGTAATAAATTAGTACAAGCAGCAATATGGCAGGCTTCATGCATGTTTTCTTTTTTAAAGATGCATTCCCAGGACATTGCCTCCGTTATTTCCTATAAATGGCTCAGTATCTTGAATCACAGAACAATATAAATCTGATCACAGATTGAGTCACTATCTGTCAAGGGTATCCAGGAATGCGGGGGGTTATAAAACATCTTTAGAAAGCAAATTTCCCAGTTACATCTCCATGAAAGTGTTGGTATTTTACATCATGAAGAGACCATTTCATTCCTGAAATAAATTTATTTGTCCTAAAATTAAATTTAAAGAGCCTATTATCTACTGTTTTGGAGATTCTACAATTGTATTGCATTTGCTCCCTAGAAATCTCCACTGCAGCAAACTATTTAATAAGAAAGTGCCTAAACATTCCTGGAAATGAATCTTATCACAAGGCAACAATTAATTTTAAACTGACTTTTCAGATAAAGAGATGGTTACACCTCTGCTGCACCTGTTTCCTATGGTAGAGATTTCTTTGTACTCTAAATGAACGAGCAGAATGGTCTCTTTCTAGAAATCCAATGTATTTTTATGGTATTAGCAAGAACATCTGAACACAAAACACCACCAAGTGCTACTCTTAATCTTAAAAAATAAGATACATGATTTCAGACATTCCAAGATTTTCATTTCATGCTCCATGTCATTATACAAAATACCCCAGAGAAATCAGGAATTCATGTAGATTTAGATATGGAAAACCATTTAAAAGAGAGGTATTTTGGTGACAATCTGAAAGCGCATTATCAAAAGGCTTATTAACCCATAGAGATTTAATAGTGAAACATTCTTGCCAAAGTTACAATGAAGTATACCACAGTTTTGATCACACTGTAAGACTGGAGGAGACGTTATAGAGCTCAGAGGGAGATTGCCAAAACTGGCCATTTTCTGGAGCAGCCCAATTCAATCTGGTGCCTTCCAGATCTGTTAGACTTCAATTTCATAATTCTCATTTAATTGGCTATAGATAACGGTCCCAGAGAAAAGCCATAATCAATGAAAAGAGCTTCCTATTTGAATCATCACCATAACCCTGAAGACTTTCTGGTGCGGCTAACAGAAACACAAACAATGGAGGAGGGAACTTGTTAAAATAATGGTGACGTTCCATACCATGGTTGGTCACTTGCAAGAAGGCAGCTATACTCTGCAGTATCCAGATGTTGAATGTGTGATCCTACCCTTATTTTTTAAAACTGCTTTGATATTTTATAATTTACAAAGATTCTACATACAAGCCAATTCCACATAGAAATCCATATGAAACATATATAGTGTTCTTCACATCCAATGAGCAAATATATTTAATGCAGACACGTTTGGGGAAGGTGCAGCATGGCAACACATGGGGTTGCATATACTATGCATACTTACTGGCCTAAAACATTCCGGCCTTGCAAAATCGGAAATAATTGAGATTTGCCAGGACTCACTGGAGTGGATGCCTTGCCTGGTCTCAAAGCTAACATCTCTTATACTTAGCCCCAGGAAATAATGTTCTTGAGATGCAGCTTTCCGCACACCTAATTGGCTTAACTGACAGCAGTGGTCCACTAAACCACTTTTGCTTCATAAAGTTAATTGTGCAAGGGAACAGCTTCTGGCAGCCCTATCTGATCCTTCAGAATTAAATCTGAAGGAAGAGAGCAAAGGCAGCTGCTAGCCTTCCTCCTGAATGAGGAAAGGGAACAAGATACTTAATGCCAGATGGCAGTGGGAAGGTGGTTGATGCTGTGAAGTTCACCAAGGACAGCCTGTGATGGCCCCTAAAAAGCTGGAGTTGGTCTTGAAACTAAGGAGAAAAAACACACCCATACATATACCAATGCATTTAAAATGGTGCATTTAAAAAAAAATATGAGTGGCATTGAGCAGACATGACTTTTTAAAAGGTGTGGATAAATGGCCTCTGAACATACCGAGCAAGATGAAGCACTGCCTCGACAATATTAGAACCATCTTTAGCACTTGTTTCACAGAATAGTGCACTGTAAGCCTAGGAGGTTAAAAAAATTCAGAAAGCATATTAATACATTCATGAAAAATTATTTCAGAAAAATTATTAAAAGACAGAACTGAAAATAAAATAACTTATAAGGGGAAACAGTTCACTGGACACTTGTAGAGGATAAACTAATTGCTTTTGCCCAATATGATGCCTTCCAGATGTTCTATACATCAACTCTCATAATTTCCAGCCAATATGTAGGCTGAAAATTATAGAAGTTGAAGTCTAAAATTTCTGGAGGTGCTAAAGGATGAAACATTGCACTAAAAGCTGTTGCTTTCAAAACATTTGCTAACACCCAATAAACTATAACATCAATGGCAATTTTCAAATCAAGTACTTAATCTAACCTGATCCTTAAGGATTCAACTTCTAACAGTTCAAGCTACCATGTCAATATATGACTCTACTTCCTATATTGTCTTCTTTATTTTTGCAAGCTGTCATTCTTACCATGGCCAACTTTTCTCCATAGCTGAGAGGTACACATTTAACTCCTTGTTCAGAAGCCATTTGACGAAGATCTGATTTGTTTCCCACCATCATGATTGGGATATTTTCATGTGTGGCATCCTAAAATGAGTATAACTTTAATGTTGGGACTTCTGATTTAAAACAGAAATACAAGTTTAAACATTCTAATGTATTGAAATATTTTTATGTATCATCATCATCATTATTATTATTATTATTATTAGATTTTTATTCCACTTTTGGCTAGTTTAAATAAGACTTTTTAAAAATAGTAGAAATACTAAATCATATGCATTGATGTATATTTAGTACTGCAGGTCACTGAAACTGAATCACTTCAACTACTAATAACATTTAAAACATAGGTTTCCTTAAAAAAGTGTTTTGGTTAAGTGCATTTCAAGCAAAATTCTGTGTGGACTTTATTTATAAAAACTGCCCCTTACTCCAAAAAACGTATCAAAATTTTCCATGATGCACCATGGCTCAAAGTATTATTCCTACGTGTAAACTGGATTTCTTATCTGCCACTCAAACCACTGAATTCCTTCTATAGTCTACTAGTTGTGCAATGGTTTCAGTGCAGCTCTAGCATGCACCAGGAGGGCACCAGCCCAGAACCTTATAAACACTTCTCTCTGGAGAAGATACACCACATTTAAGAGGGATATTTAACAAGTATTAAGCAGACTGAGTTGCAAGATCAAGTTTTGTAAGATCAAAGCATTCTTACCGCTATCATATCTACCCATTCTCGTACATTAAGAAAGCTTTTTTCGCAGGTAACATCATACAGTAAAAGCACTCCATCTGCTCTTCTGAAGTAAGACTTAGCAATACTTCGGAACCTTTAAAAAGAAAGTTAAAAATTGCAGTAGTTCTTCTATTCTAATTTATTTTCCCTTAATCTGTATAGCAGATAAGTTCGGTAGATTAAAGTCAAAGATCTGATCCATAAGGCAGGCAGGAAAGACTGTTTCTGGAAAGAAAGTGAGATGGTAAAGGCTGTAGTACCTTTAAGTTAGTACTCGTAATCCAGTGGCAACCCAGTATTAGTTTGAATTTAAAGAGCCAGTGCTTTAAGTGTCCAAGACCGGGTATAAGTACCAGGTGCCCTGTAGTTGCTCTGGAGTAAAATTCCTTACCATTGCCTGGGGCTAGTGGAAACTGAAATTCAAAGTATCTAAATTTTGTTCAGCCTTAGCCTATTCTAGTGCAACATTCCTTAACCTGGCATTCTCCAAAATGTACTAGGCTTTCTGATATTTTAGTGAAGGTTCTGAAAGGCTATCCTAACAAGAATAAAGCAGAGAGTGCAATCTTGTTTTGGCCAAATCTACAAGAGCCTTTAGTGGTATAGTGGGGCTGAACTGGGTATGGCAAGGACAAAAACTAAAGTTGATAATTCATTGTTTCTAAAGCTTTTGGCTCACGGTAGCCGAATTATCTTGTAGGATTGAGGGTTTTTTCCCTCTTCTTTCAGGTTTTTTTTGTTGTTGTTGTTGTTGTTTGCTTGCTTTCTCCTACAACTGTTTCAATGAAGATAGGTATATAAACTAGGTGTGGCACAGCAAGTCCAAATTTTTGTGGCAATACCAAGTCCCAATTTTTGGAATGTTTCTGGATGAATTTTGAAATCATGGCATATAACGTTCTACAGATCCTCCTGAGTAAACCATTTGCTTGGTGGTAACGGACCAATATGAAATGCTCCGTGTCATGGATAGCCCTTAACTTCTCCATCACCCCAACAAAAAACTAATCACTGCATCTGGTAAGATCTGCAGCAGCCAACCTTCCCTGACAAAAATGTCAACATGACCTGACTTACATTCTTAGCATTAAGCCAGGTAGAACTACTTCCTTGGACTATCTAGTGGCATAGTCCACAAGAATCCACACATCCTGATTCCCTCATGGTGTCTTGGATTAAATAAGTCCTACGCCATATACTGCCACTCTTCATAAGTGACAGATAAGGGCTGCAAAAGTGCCTTTACCTGGTTCCTGGCTGTTTCCCAACCTCTGGCAATCATCACATCATATTCAGTCACTAAAAATAAAAATAACTTGCGTGTATATCTCTGCTAAAAAGAATTTAAGAAAAAAAGCGGGGGAGGGATCTGCTTTTCTTGTCTGTCTGTCAAACGCAAAACAGCAATGTCTTTATTAGAAAAAAGACTTGGACTGGACTGCCCCTAGTATTTACACATCCCATAATGACCACCATGTTATAGCAGGGTTGAGTCCAAAAACAGAAAGTTTGGAGGTCTCAACCAACCTCTCCCAGAAGCCCTCCAGGTCTATACATTCTAGGTTTGTCACCTGCCTTGGTGTGTGGTTTAGTAGTTTTTATTACAATGTTGTTGCAATCACCTATTTTCTAGGGGGGTGCCTTACCTGGTGTCCTCCTAACCCTGGTGTGTGGGGGAGAGAGGACTCCCACCATTCATGCAGCTAGATAGCAAATAAAAGTTAAAAAATGAGAAAGAATGAAAAATATTATGCAGCATCACCTCCTGTCCCTGCATGGGGCTAGGAAAATCAACACCCCTAGCAATCTCACAAGCAATAAATAAAATAAAGCTTTATTAAAAATAGGAAAAGAAAATATGTAAAAAGTCCTTTGTACCTTTCAGTAGTCAAGTACAAAAAATCAATAGCAAGGAAGATAAAAATATAGAGCTGTTCAAAACACAGGAAGTAATTTAGAAAATATCTCCAATAGAAAAATATATACATTTGCAGCCAAAAATACTGGTATCCCTTCACTTTTTCTCAAAGAATCACAGGTTGCTATGAAATAAGTCATAAATCAAAAGCAAAGTGTCTGCTCTGTGGACTATGGAATAAATAATGGTGAATACCATTGACTTGTGTCAGTTTCAGTTTATTTCACAGCAAATTGGGATTCTTTGGGGAAAAGTAGAGGGGTGCCAATACTTTTGTCCATATCTGTAGGGAAATCTGGGCAGATTGCATGATGGTTTCTTGTACACTGCAACCTTTTATCAAAGGCACAGGAATACAGTTCCTCTGCCCAGTACTCAATTTTTTGCTTCTTTCTTCTGTTGAAGAAACTTCCTGCAGTTTCCAAAAGAGCAAAAGCTCTTCCCCTTGAAGAAGAAAGAGGAGTGATGGATTTCTCCTGTTGCCAAATGCTAAAGTAAGCATCTCTCATCAGGAAGATTTGCTTGAGGCAGAGGAATGTGTATTTCCTTTCTGAGAACCATCTGTCATTCTTTGTAAATGACCAAAGCATTGCAACATTATTTTGGAACTTAGATAATATTATTATACATAGTATATGCGAGTTAGTATCACTAACTCTAGAGGACAGCACCCAAATATAATTTTCTAATACAAACGTTTTATTTTTATTTCAAAATAAAATGAGGTAAATTGTACTGACCTCTCTTGACCAGCTGTATCCCAAAGCTGCAGCACCGTAGGTTCTCCATCAACAATGAGTCTCTTCATTTGAAAGTCAACCCCTAAAAATAAACAACATCCTTTAATGCACTGCATTACCATCCTTTAATGCAGTGAAGGTTAAGAATCTGGAATTTATCTATAAGATTAAACCTAAAAATATAATCAGGATAAGTAAAGAATTATTACTGAGAACTCTGCAGTCAAATTTTGTATTACTTTAGAACAGTAAAATGCAAGGCTATTCACAAATATATTACTTGGAAAAATATGAAATAATTATGTTGAATAACATTAACTAAGAATGAACAATTAACTCCGATATTTATCTTGGGTTAAAAACTTCAATAATGACCCTAGATCTGGCCTAAGATAAAACAGAATCACTTCCCTGAAGCCCAGTCACTATTAGCATCCTTTATGTGAATAGAGGATGACAAGATGTGACAAAGTAGAAAACTGCACTGCACCACCTGGATGCTTGTCTGCTTCCAAATATGGAAAACAACTTGTTCCTCACAGAATCAAGTCTTTGACTCTGCTTCCACCAGAGGACATTTGCCCATCAGCTTCCTAGGTCTGAAGCTTAAGAAAGTCACTGTCCTGACAACGTTGCCACTAAAGGGACAACTGCAAATGGGAATGCCCCCTTTGGGAGGTCCTTTGGGGAGTCCTTTGAACTGAAGGATTCCACATTTCATTTTTATGTGCATGCAGGTTTTGAAGAGGGCTAGATCTGGACTGCTAGCTGTTGTAGCCTGGTGTTAGGAAATATGAAAAAAAAAATAGGGGGCAGAGGGAAAGAAATGAGATATAAAAATGGCCTGGGAATAAACATTAAAGCAATAACCAATGAGGAAAACATAGGGGGAGACGTCAGCCTGGTGATTGCAGGGAAAGAAGGGCAGGTTAGTGGCTGCTCTTCCTTGTTATGCTACAGCTTAACCAAGAAAATAATGATGACAGAGGTCCTTCCAACCTGAAAGTTCTGTTCTTTAGTATCAGAGTAGTTGCTGATGCAACATGAATTATCAAAGATTTAATCCTGAATGCAAATGTTGACATGGCAAGTATCACAAAGACCTGATTAAAAAGGAAGTAGGACTTCATTTCTCTCAGCTTACCTACCAGCCTACTTGATGGAAAGCAGACTAGGACTGGAGGGCAGGGAGTTCATGTGATCATGTGATAATTTCCCACATTCCAATAAAAGAGAATATATCTGAACTTGGTTGTTTGCTCACAGATGTTTCAATACCCAACTAGGGCTTTAGTTGGTTCATGTGCTATAGTGATGCCGAATGGTTGTAATAGTCTGTTGGTTGTTTCTGAGATGTTTCTAATGTATAGGAGTGTTGAATGCCGTGTCTCATATTGCTCTTCCACACCCTACCACCAGGATATTAGAAGTGGAAGGAACTGGGATTGTCAGTGGAATATTTGGATTCCAGAGCCAGAACAAGTTATAGGGATGTAAACTTGGCAACTGCTTGTCCTGTTATTTTGGATTCTTTTCTGCTGATCTTCAGATTTATCCATGGTTATCCATGACTCTGTTACATACTATCATAGCCAAAGTAATATGCTATATATGGGGTACCCTTGAAAAACATCAGGAAGTTACAGCTGATGCAAAATACAGCAGCTAGACTACTAATCTGTGTAAAATTGGTAACTGGCCTCAAACATTTACAAGGTGCCAATCTTTTAACTATTAGATGATTTTGGAATGTGGTTTATCATGAACTTTAATCTGTATTTTTAACTTTTAATATTCTATTTTTATGTTTAGATTTGCTACCTTGAGTGTTTGCCTTAGTGGAACAGGGGCATAAATCAAATAAATAGTGCATAACTCAAAACATGTAATTGAGGCATGATTATGATATTTCGTGTAATGTTGTTTGTAGCGTTTATCATTTCTGCATATTCTGGCATCTTTTTAAAAAATTAAGACAAATTCTGTTAGAACTTTTAAATGACCCAGATTAGAAACTGAATTCTTGATGCAACTGCAAATTAATAATTTTATGCTTTCATAAAATTTAATTTTAATTGTTTAACCCATACAACTTACTGATTGATAGTTACAAAGTATTCCAGCTGGAATTTTAATTAGATGCTCCGTTAATAGATTAAAATGTTTTATTTTTGCATTGATAATACTTTTAATAAAAATGTATGCACAGAATAATATATCAAAGCAAAGTATGTACTTAGCACAAGTATCTATGAATTTTGGCTTTTCTATTTACAGTACAGGCAACAACCGCACTGAACAGAATCACAGAAAGTATGAATTGAAAATAATTTTACAGGTCACCTAGCCCAGTCTCCTGCTCAGTGCAGGAGTCCAGCAAACCATTCTCAACAAGTGAACATTCAACCTGTGCTGAAAACACCAACAAGGTACAATCCACCACTATTCCAGCAGATTGTCCCAGTGTTTAACTGTTCTTACTCTCAGGAAATTCTCACATCTTGTTTCAAATCATACAGTGTCAAAATCTTTTCAGTTTTGCCCTAACATGTTTTTTCTGTTTTACCTTATTCTTGGGATGTTCAGTAATTTCTTTACAACATTTTGGATAAAGCATTTAAATTTATATTATTAAAGTGGTAAAGGGTACTTCTACCATCCCGGTTTTGGAAAAAGGACTGAACTACATCTTCGTCACTCTGCCACTTTGCTGGCTGTCCCTGTTTCCCTTTGAATTCAACAGCTGTTTTGGGACAGGCCACTCTTCCTTTTAATCTAACTTTCCTCACAGGATCTCTATGAGCACAGAAAAAGACAAAGCCACATATGATGTCTTAGGGTCCTTGGCAAAGAGTCAAATGTAGAGGTGATCGAAAGGCAAGCTATTATAATCAGAATGTAATCTATATATTTTGAGGGGAAAAACATCTTCAAAGCTTATCCATTAGCCCAGGCAGTTATGGGTGCCCTGGAAAAATAAAGTACAAAAAACATACCCAGAGTTGCACTGGTGTTCCCTCGAAATTCATTTTTGCAAAGCCTCATAAGAAAGCTGGATTTTCCAACAGCTGCATCCCCAGCAAGAACTATCTTGTAAGCCTTGTCTGAACTTGGGTATCTGGAGTTGCAGTCTATGGAATCAACCTAAATGTAACAAAACATGTACCATATTGATAACATTAAAATAACACTAAGCTTTGATTCAGTAATCTTATTTCTAAAACATATGTTAGGCTGTCTGTGCTAAGCATGAAACACTGGAGCAACAAACAGCATGTACATATATACACATTACTGGATATAAGTTGTTTGTGGTGATAATTCTGGAGGATGATCATCATCATCATCATTGAAGACCAACATAATGAAAATATTATTTCTTCAGAAATCATTGGGATGGGAATAAAAATGAAAACACATATTGCGATCTCAATATTGCAATGCTTTCTATAAACCCAGTGGTACAATACGATTTAGAATATTGACAACTTTGACTTCCCACCTAAGGTTATTAAAGAACTGGGAAAGGGAAAAGCAACCAAAATGACTGAAGGATGCAGCATCCCTGACAATAAAAACCTTTTAAAAAGTGGTAGTATCATAGAAGTTTATTTATTTATTATTTATTTATTAAACTTGTCCCTGCCCATCTCCCCCCAATGGGGGACTCTGGGCGGCTTACAACATATTAAAACAATAAATAAATATACAGTTAAAATTTGTAAGAGGACAAATTTCATACAGAAATTAACAGGTTAGAGAAATTAGACAGAATTTCTTTTTTTCTTTCAGGAATTTCAGTAGGACTGTATGTATTTTGAACATTATTTTAAAAAGTTCTTTGGAACTCATGCTAATGCAACAGCTCTCTTCTACTTATTAAAGCAGCTATGATATTTTTTCAGGCATACAGACTCAGCTGCTTTAAGGCTCACTTAAAGATGTGGCTGCTTTAATAAATTATGTCATTAAAACTGAGAATCTCTGAAAAAAGTGTGTTCTTCTGAATAGTGAAGAGATGCTGTGCCTGTACAAGTTCAAGTATTCTTCCTAATCATTTACAAAGTATACAGTGTCCAAATATCCAATAACATTGATTTAGTAATAAGATAAAGAAAAATATGTATTTGTACTCTGCATAATATGAAATTTGCTACCATAAAATATAATTAGACACCTCTCAAAATGCCTTTAAAGGGGGTGATTCATGAAAAATTTGGCTTTCTGTAGTTGTTCGCAATAAAGGCCAGTGAATGGATACCTTCATGTCTTGTTCAAAGTGTCATCTGGGTGGCCATCAGTAATGGAACAAGGGACTAAATAAGCCTTCCCAATTTGGTTCCCTTTAAATCTGTTTTGGCCATGGATATAAAGGATATGGTTAGCAAATGGGAATTAGGGATTCTCAGGCTAGAGATGAGCCTTATGTAAACATATCACAAACTCCCAGTCACCAAGCAACATACCAAATATCCCTTAATTCAGAAGGGTGGGAGGAGGAAGCCAGAATTTAAAGCCTTAAGAAAATATAAAAGTCCCTGAGATCTTTGCATTGCAATAAGCAATCAACTGTTACATGTGATGCTTTGTTCTCATCTGCAGTAAATTCTCTAATCTAGCCAAGCTGTGTTTGTGAGTTTTCTGCCAAGTCAAACTGAGAAGCTGAACTAAGGATTAAGTGTTTGGAGATGTGTAATTTACTGTTGAACTCAGGGATGAAGTCTGACAATGTTGTCCAGGAACTCTGGGAGCTATATTCCCAAAAGTTCTGGAGTTTACCAGATAGGGAAGACTGGTCTAGTGGACCTCTGACAGGCTTTAAAAGGTATTCATGTCTTTATGTCTGGTGATTTCTGGATTTACTGATTAAAAAGGGGCAATTATGGAAGGAAGAGAATCAAGATATGTAATTTGGGAGGGTGGGGATGGTAACTATTATGTCTGTAACAGCTGCAAAGATCAAAAGTCACTTCTTTAGATATCTTTTCTTTGTCTTTTATGTTTTGCTATCCCTCACTTTCTTTTATTCTTTTATATCTTTTTCCTTTTTCTATTTAAGTTTCTGTTGTTTTTTAATCCTGTGTAAATTTTTTTCAATAAACATTATATTTAAAAAAAAAGGCATTTATGTTTTGTAATGGATTACAAAAATGTCAGAAAGTACATTTTTATATTAGTATAAGATGCCTAAAGTCACTGGATGATTTTTTACATTTTTATATTAGTATAAGATGCCTAAAGTCACTGGATGATTTTTTACATTTTTATATTAGTATAAGATGCCTAAAGTCACTGGATGATTTTTTTGTTTGGCTTAAGTTTTATTTTAAGTTATAAAGGACTTTCAAAGATAGTTTCAGAAAACTCAGTTACATGATAACAACAAGAGAACATGTTGGCACACCCTTCCTGCAGATTTCACTGAGCTTTATAAATACAGTGGTACCTCGGGTTACGAACACCTCTGTTAACGAACTTTTCGGGTTATGACCAGCTCCGGCCACAAAAATTTACCTCGATTTGCGAACTCTGCCTCGGGGTACGAATAGGATACGCGGCCATTTTCCCTCCCGTGATACGGTCCACGGCCATTTTTCCGCCCCGACACGTGGTCCGCGGCCATTTTCCGCCCCTGACACGTGGTCATAGGGAGGGGGACTCTCCCTCCAAGCAATAGCCGCCTCCCTGTCCTCTATGT